TAAACAACCCAAACCAAGGCTGCATTTCTCCAGTCAAAGATGCTATGGGCTGCAGCACCCACAGGACATGGGACCTTGGAGGGAGGAAGATGAGGAAAAGTGCAATGAGCTTGGAATGGACACAGTCACAGATCTGACGCACACACAAAAACCCACAAGGTTGATGGGGCTCACAGGCAAGGCTGAACATCGTTCCCAGGCCAGATCACCACCCCAATTTCTACACTGCAGCCTAAATGATATTAAAATACGCTTACATTTATGCAGCAGTGTTTAGATTTGTGGAGAGGAGGCCAGGAGGGAGGGCAGCTGCAGGGTCAATAAGACAGGACAATGCATCATCCCTATCCTATTAAACTGCCTACACATCTTTTTTTGTAGCAGCTTGAAGATGTAGGCAGCAAATAGTCAAAGGACAGGCCTGTATCTCAAGCCAAAAAAATCTGTTGAGAACAACCAAGCTTTGCTGGTCAACACAGAGCTCTCGCACTGAGCTCAAGCATTAACATTTGCAACTTGGTTTATACGGAAACCGATTGGCTATTTTGGATCAAAATGAGGCGTTTTTAAAAGAAGAGAGATAATTTCGGCAGCAGCTTACAATCTTTGTGCCCTGACAGTCAATTGTAGGCAAGTCAGTCCATTTCCCATGTCACAGGGGGCTGGAGTCCCCAAAACTACAGTTCCCATCATGCTTTGTGCTCGCAAAGATGAGGACTCCAGCAGCAGCTTGGGCACCACCTGCTCGTTCCATTGTTGCTGCCATGATCTTCTGTTCCCCTCAAAGATTGCCAAGTGTGCTGTTATCCGGCAAGTGCATTTGGCCACATTTATAACACACTCTTAGACACGCTTACACAGAAGTAAGCCCCATTTAACCCCAACGGGCCTTGCTTCTGGGTAAGTGGATATAGGCCTGCAGTTGTCCCCCCCACTTTCATTTAGATCCTGCCTTCATCCAAAGAATCATAGAATTGTAGAGTTAGAAGGGAACCTGAGGATCATCTAGTCCAACCCTCTGCAAATGCAGTAATATGCAACTGTCCCATACGGGGATCAAACCTGCAACCTTGGCATTATCAGCACCATGCAGTCATATGTGGGAGTCTCCAGCTGATCTCCCTTCCAAGTAGTGACCCCCAAGGCTGGCTGCTGCATCACATTCCTTCAGAACATGCAGTGGGCCCCTCCCCTAATTAGTTAATCCCACCTTTCCTCTAATTATTTTCGGATAGTGTATATATTATGGTCCATCCCTACTTTTTTATTCTCACAACCACCCTCTAAAGTAGCTAAGGCTGAGAGCAGGCCATCAGGCAAAGATCACAGAACTTGAGTGGGGATTTCAGAGTGATTCTCCCCAATACAAATCTGACCCACTAACTCCTACATCATACTGGTCCCTTTTATCAGGAACCTTTCAATAGGTTAGAATTAGCTGTGTTAACATTTTGCGCAGCAAAGAGTTCTGTGTTGCAAAGGGCACGGCTATCCATCAGAACTCGCTTTCTACAACTTCTTTTAAATGAGTTACGTAAGCTTCCACCCCACAAATGAAACTGACTCAAGCCACAGTGTGAGGAGGTGGCTGAATATTGTTTGTTAAGATGCAAACCTCCTTCACAGAACCCCAGTCCCTGAGTTTCCTGGCCAGGAGCCATGACAGCTCGACTGGTTACAAACTGATTTAGGAGAATACGTCTTCAGACATGCTTCTACCCCTTCACCAACTTCAGGCCTTGCACTAAAAAAGAAATAAATCTCCAAAACCATTCGCCATATTTGCCTGTGTTCAAAAACGTTTCTCCGCTATCACAAGGGACTAGAACCTTGGTTGTTTAACAACAGCAGTGCTAGAAATCTCAGCCAATTAAACATGCAGCAGGTCCCAGATTAAAAGACACAGTCTTGCCTGCCAGTTTATTTTCTCTGAGCTAAGCATTCTGGTGCAGACATGAAGATGTTAACAGTGAGGACGATGAGGTTGAGATGCGACAGGGGATGGGAAGAGCTGTAAGGCAACCTTGTAAACCTCTACCAAACACATGAGTAGGTCAGGGCGAGTTATTGACACCCCAGCACAGATCTAGGCATTAAAATTAAGAGCAGCGATTATACAGGCTCCAGAATAAATTAAGAGCAATAAGCAGCTGAATAATTTCTTCCTTGGCATAATTTGCATTCTATTCCCCAACATATATAAATACCAAGCTCGTATGCATTACTACTTTGAAGGAGGGGGTGGTATCCTGTGTTCTTCCAGTGGATATATCTGATAACAATCTTTGATGGTTGCTAAGCGAGTGAGGGCAAACCTTGAGGGTTGCATGCCACTAAATTCTGCTCAGACTTGCTGAAATTTATGTCCATAATGGGTGTGCAACATTGGACACAACCCTGAATAGTGCTCCTCCAAGAATTCTGCACGCAAGCCCCGATCCCGAAAAAAACCAACTTATTTCCGCATTGCTGAACTTCCCTCCCACCAGTACAAAAAGTGTTTCTGAGGGGACAACAGAGTGTGGTGCCAAGTGCTGGAATTGACAGTCACCAGCTGAGGCCCATATCCCAGGAGGGGGATCCAGGGCTCTGCTCCTCCTCAGTGTCGCTGCTGTTCTCCCAACCCTCTCCAAGAGCACAACCAGTGACAGGAGCAAGAATAAGTGCCACCCTCCAGCTACATTGTCCTCCCCATTTCGGACAGTGGGGTTTGCGACAAGAAGGACACCCCCTCCCCAAATGCGGGATCTGGAGCAGGCGCTGCGAGAGTGAACCGGATCTCCTCAGGGCGATTCTAAAGCTACTCTTCTTGATGCTGGAACAAGTCAAGTATTTAAAGCTACGGTAATCGAAGTTAAGACTGTGCAACGTTATAGGAAATATCTGTTTGTTTTTAAAGTGCAACAAGCAGCAAACAGAGAAGCGATGCTTCCCAAGACACTGCCTATGAGGTAAGCCACAAATAGAGTTGTATAATATACATTTAAAAGGGGTGTGGGGAAGGGGTGTGGGGAGAGAGGAGGCTCAGGCCCACGGAAGAAAGTGTTCCGCCTTGTAACCTGGCAGGCTGGGTGAGGGTTGTGGCCTGCTGCGTGCCTGAAGACATCTCCCGCTGCCTGTTTTTGCAGTCCCAGGCAAGCAGCAAAGTTTGGCGAGGGCCCTGGAAGTCCCACACAGGGCTGGCGAGCTGCAGGAGCTTGGTGGCTCTGCACAATTGTTATCTGGACAGTAGAAAACCCTCTCAAGAGACAATCGTTCCTTGCTTCGTGGCCCCGCTTAATACAGCTGTGAGCCTACGCTTTCATACACTGACACACACAGTTCTGTCGTCCTTTCCTCATTCCCCCCCCCCCAAGCCAGATCTGTGGAAAGATCACATAATTTAAAGCACATTAAATGCTCACGACTTTCCCAAAAGAATCATGGGAACTGTAGTCCGTCCCCCCCAGAGCGAAACCGTTCCCGGCACATTTAACCAACTGCAGTTCCATGGATTCTTGGGGTGGGGGGGTGGGAATGCCATGTGCTGTGAATGTGTGTTGATGGTGCTTTAAAAGTATGGATCTGCCCTTTTCTGATCAACACTTCTTAGTGATGGATTCACCAGCTCCCACTAGCAACTTGTGGGAAATAGGGAAAGAGTGGGAAAAAGGCCATGCTAAAGTATTACTAATAAAATGCCTAGGAACGTTCACATGAACAAAGAAAATAAAAAATCTTGGTCCCTTCGATCGGCTATCCTTTTCAAACAGCAGTCATTTAAGCCCACGCTAATGGCAGAGGATCCCAGAATTCCCCCTGTTTCCTCCTGAGTCGGCCTTACATGCCACCTAAACACCACATAGCAACTGCCACAGAGGGTCTTTTTCCCAGAGAGGAAGCTCCCCTCCTTGCTGTGGCAGGCAGAGGTCTCTGTGTTGCCTCCCAACAGTGTCATTCATATGCTCCGATTACAGGGATCAAAATGACAGCCTGGCTCTCAGGAGGTTTCTGTGAGATGGAAACTTTGCAGGATGGCCTTTCCTTTGTAAATAAAACCTGCTCTCCCCCACACATGCACTTCTCTGGCTACATTCAGAGTGAAGACAAAAACCAGCAGCTAAAGAACGTAAAAACTGCTTGTTAACCTAACGGGACCGTGAGCAGTCGTGTTAACAAAGAGCAGCCAATGGCCCAAGTCCGGGCCTACCTAGGCCACATTCACACCTTACATTTAAAACACCACCACACCGCTTTAAACAACCATGGCTTGCCCCAAAGAATTCTGGGAGCTGTAGTGTGAGCCTTGTTAGGCCATCCCTATTCCCCTCAGAGTTTAAAATTCCCAGAATGGTTTAAGGATCAATCCCCTCCCCCCCCAACACCTCTCAGCACCCTTAACAAACTACATGTCCCAGAAGTCTTTGGCGGAAAGCCGCAACTGTTTAAATTGGTTTTGTGGTGCTTTCAATGCATGGTGTTGATGTGTCCACTGCAGGGAGGAATCTCATTTCCACCTTTCATTGCAAAGTTTTTTTCCCCCAGATGCAAATGGTGTCCCACAGTGGCTAAAGAGATGCCTGTGGAAAGCCCACAGACAGGACATGAGCACAACCGCACTCTCTCACTCATGCTCCCCAGCAGCCAGGATTCAGAGGCTTGGATACTGGAGGCATCGTGAGGAAGAGCCAACAATGGCCTTATCCTCTGCGAATCTTTCTAACCGCCTTTTAAAACAGTCACGCTTAACAATGTACTCTGCGAAGAGAAAAGACAGAACAAAGGAAGTAGTGTGGGACTTTCAGCAAATTAGGAACCCTATTATGTTTTGCTTCAGTGCTGGCCTAGATGTCAACCCACTAGGTCGACTTTTGATATACAGGCTTTCTCCCATGAGGAAGTGGGGGAAAGTTTTGCCGGTGGAATTTGCCAACTTAAATCTCCTGATTCGACATCTCTTAAGAGACACAGACAAATACATGTATGGTGAACATCATTTCATATACGCACACACACACATATCCATTACAGTATTGGATCATTTTAATTGCTTGTTAACCCCCACATAGTGGGGAGAAAAGAATAATAACAAACCGCCCTACCAAAGTTAAGCCCCCACCCGTGAGAAGAAGAAAAAATTCCAGTTACATTCATCAAGTTTATTCCTAGAGAGAGCCAGATTCGGAGGTCATTAGTGCAGGGGTTGGGGGTCAGTCCCATCCCCTTTCACTACACCTCCGGCTGGCTAGAAAGGAGCCATAGAAGGCTGTCGAGAAAGTGGTCCCTTCCTTGCCCTAAATGTCCTTGGTCGCCCTCTGAAGAAGAGGTGGCCGAAGAACCAAACACAACTCTGAAGAAAGATGGCAGATCTCCCTTCCCAGGGTAGACAAAGAGAGGAGGGGAAACGGCTGCCTTCGGTTCTGTTAAAAGGAGGGGGCGGTGGAAGTTAGTGTTTTGTGGGCTGCCTCTTACATTCAACTCCCTGCTACAGTGGTCTCACTGCTTTCACATACACCCCCACCCTGCTTCCACCCCGGCTGAGCAGACCGTACAAAGACGAGGAGCAGCAAGCAAGGCTTAGTGTTCTCTAAGTGGCTTCTTGTGAACCACAGGCAAAAGGGGGCTGCAAGTTCGGGAAGAGAGGGTGGCCTCAAAGGGGTCAGGGGGCTCCCATTTAGCAGGAGAGAGGTGTGTGATTCAGCAGAAGACACAAAAAGAGTGGAGAGAGAGAACAACACTAGAAATTGGGACATGACTCTTGGTCCCACGGCTTGAAGGAAAGTTGGTGTGGAACGTGCATTTCCCCAGTCCACTCAGTGCCCCACTCATCTCTACAACCCACACCAGTATCTCTCTCCCCATCACTTCAGACATGGTCCTGAACCATGAGCTGCAAAGGGATGGGAGTCTTCAGTGTTGCTGCCCCAGACTGGCAAGCAGGGTGGTGCAGAGGTGTCCCCCGTCTCTGGGACAAGTGGTTGGAAAAGTGGAATAGAAGGGCCTCCCCAAAAAGGAACAAGGTGGAGAGGATGGTGGGTCCTTGTAGGGGAGGAAAGGCTACATCACTTCTCGACCCAAACCACACCAAGGGTCCTGTAGCCAAGCTGCTCCTTCTTGATGGGAGATGCAAAACAGGCTGGCAAAACCAGGCCTATGCAGGTGGGTGAGGAAGGAAGGAGGAGGTCAACATTCAAAAGGTTGCATGGACAGCAGCAGAGGATCATGGGGAGTGGGCAAGACTTGCCACCCAAAGGCTCATTAAAGGAATATATGGTATGTGTGTGCCAAGGCCTAGAAGAGCAGAGGGAGGTTTTAAGCAGCTTGCCATCTGGGTGGCTGGAGGGGGCACTGCAAGTCAGAACGCCCACCCGCTACCCACACAGACAGTACCCCCAATCCCAAGCCTCAGGGTCCCTCTTTGCAGCAAAGGGGCAGAAGAGAACGAAAGTTACGTCAGATCTGCGAAGTGCTCCCGCATCCTGGGTCAGAACGCTGTGATCTTCACCTGGTTCACGCCGGTGATTAGATTGGCCACCGAGTGGTGGATCTGCCCCTGGATGGGGCCGTACTCCACCCTCTCTCCGTCAATGGTGAGGATGCCCTTGCGAGTGAGGGGCTCGATGCGGAAGGCCCGGACGGGAATGTGGATGAAGTGGGGGCACTCTATGTCAAAGTGAGTGCCCTTCTCCGTGGCCAAGAACAAGCGGATCAGGGCTGCCCGGGAGATGCCCGCCTTGATGTAGAAAAGATGGATGAGGCCGTCGTTGAAGCAGGCAAAGGGCGCCATGAACAGGTCGGCTCCCAGGTGAGACTGGTAGATGGCCAGCACAGAGACAAAGTCCTCCTCCACTGTCACCCACGACTTGGGCACCGGCTGGTCCAGAGGCGCCAGGAACTCGTCTGGGGGGCCGTGCACCTGCCGGGGAGACAGCGAGACGCCAGGCGCGCTCATGGGCAGCCCGGCCTCCCTGCGGTCAGCCACGAGCTCCTCCGACAGGTTCTCGAAGCTGAAGCTGGAAGAGTGGAAGCTGGAGGAAGAGGGTGGGGAGCTGGGCGAGGGGGTGGGCTCGTCGGCAGGCTCCACCTCCTGGAAGCAGAGGGCGTGGCGTTCCTTGCACAGGCCCAGGTCAGAGACGGTGCGGTGGAGCGGCCCGTGCTGGAAGGGGAGGCTCCCATTGGCCGCCATGGTGATGCTGCGCAAGATGGGGCGGTGGGCCGTGCCCTCCAGGGCGGGCAAGTAGGAGAGGCGCCCCCGGTAAGTGTTCAAGGAGGCCAGGCGGACCATCGTCCCCAAGGTGAAGCGAGCCGGGCCAATGTGCCGGAACTTCTCGCTCTCAATGTCTACGTCGGAGATGAAGCCCCAGGCCACGCTCAGGAAGGAGAAGGAACGGGAGCCCGACGCGGTTGTGACCGACACCAGGTCCAAGGGGGTCACCGCCCCGTGGCAAAGCAGGAGGGTGCAGTTTGTGAGCAGCTCCTGGCCCAAGGTCTGCTCAAACCTGCCCGACAGAGTGAGAAATGTGTCAGGGTTGGAGAAGCTCACTTGCACATGCAATCAAATGGTGAGAGGCTCCCAAGAGAAGGGGGGGGGACACAAACACTGCCGCAATGTGGGGTGCAGAGGCTGCATTTGTCACGGGGCAACAGTAGCACTTACATTTCTGTTCAGCCGGCGAACAATAGCCACATGTGCAAAACGAGGAAGAAAGATATAAATAGCTCAGGGCCGTAATACCTCAAGAACCGCCTCTCTCCATATGAACCTACCTGGACCCTGTGAACATCCTCTGAGTTGGAGACACACTTTTTAGACATGCATCATTTTGTGACACAGTAATTCAGTTTTTCTAGCAAACTGGAGGTTAAATTAACCCCTTTCCAGCCCCGGAGGAGCGTGGGGAGGGTTCGTGCAACTCACCTACACACTGCAGCTGACACACTAGCATATTGCAACACAAAGTTTGGGAAGCTCTGTTATACACCTTTAGACGTCAGGCGAAAATGTTCCTCTTGATCCAGGCTGATTGACATCTGATGCCGTTTTAAATGTGTTGTGGAAGGGGGGGCGGGATATTGATTTGTTGTTCTTATTTTTACTATGCATTTGTGGTTTCTATATTGCAACTTTATGCTGTGAACCACCCCGAGATCCATGGATGAAGAGTGGTGTACAGAGGTACCTTGGAAGTCGATCTTGCAGCCAATCGGTAGCCACGGAAGCCCCATCGGACATTCGGCTTACAAAATAATGTTCGAAAACTGGAACGCGCACTTCCAGTTCTCAATTGTTCGGGAGTTGGAATGTTCGATTTCCAAGGCGTTCGGGAGCCGAGGTACGACCGGACTAATATAAAGTGTCCCAGACACAAGTGTAGTTTGAATGCTGGACTACACCTGGGTAGACCCAGGTTCGAATCCACATCCATCCGAGAATCTCACTGGCTAACCTTAAACCAGTCCCTCTCCTTCAGCCTCAGCCTACACCTCACAGGGTTTGTTTGTTTGTTTATTATTAAATTTTTATTAAACTTTCATAACTCACAGGGTTTGTTTCGAGACTAAAAGGGAAAAATTTGTATCCTGCCTTAAACTTCTTGGAGGAACGGCAGGATGAAAGCACAATAAATAATGACCATGATTATGGTAATTAGTCCTCAGCATTGGCCAAGCTGCTGATGTAACGTGCTCCCTACCCTTGAAAATGCAAAATTACTTGCTCAAAATTACTGCAGCAAGTTGAACAGTCAGCTCTGAAACTGCAATCTGGCCTGGGAGCCCTGCCAACCAGTACCAGGTGAGTGGGAGCCTAATTAGCTGAAGAAGCAGCACTCTGTGTATGCTTGCAGGGATTCTTAAATGCATCACCTTCACATATCCAAAAGTAGAGATCAGGTCCGGCTGAAGATGGAGCCCCAAGTATAGCCTGCTCCCCTGCTTCCCAGAAGTGGTGTGGTGCAGAGCCCGTGTGGTGCAGTGGTTAATGTACAGTGGTACCTTGGGTTACATACGCTTCAGGTTACATACGCTTCAGGTTACAGACTCCACTAACCCAGAAATAGTACCTTGGGTTAAGAGCTTTGCTTCAGGATGAGAACAGAAATCGTGCTCCGGCGGCGCGGCGGCAGCAGGAGGCCCCATTAGCTAAAGTGGTGCTTCAGGTTAAGAACAGTTTCAGGTTAAGAACGGACCTCCGGTATGAATTAAGTACTTAACCCGAGGTACCACTGTACTGAAACTGGGAGTCCCGGGTTCAAATCCCTGCTCAGCCATAAAGCTCACTTGTATGACCTTGGGCCAGTCACTGCCTCTCAGCTTAAGCTGTGAGGATGAGAATTGTGTGCATGTCACCGTGAGCTCCTTGGAGGAAAAGGTGGGATAAAAATTGTACTAAATAATACAATCACTGCTGCGGTTTCTTTGTAGGAAAGCTTTCGTAGTGCAAACACAACCTAAAAGCAGCAATGTGAAGCAACTTTGGTAACAACAAATACAAATTTAAATATGTATTTAAAAAAAAAAAAAAAAAGCAAGAAGATGGACGAAGCATATCCGTTAAGCTTTCCCACTTACCCAGCTCTGAAGTTTATGGCTGCAGCTACTGCATTTCCAGACCCACAAGGGAGAATACCAAGGGGCATTTTTATGGCTTCTTCCCAGTCCGGCCGTTCCATCAAGCCATTAATCACCTGGAAGGAAGGAGGAGATAGGAAAGTATTCATAACCTACAATCCTAATAATGCAGGAAATGGGATGTGTGTTGGGGGGGGGGACACACCCAAGAACAGCAGTCTGCAAATTCATGATCCAAGAAACCCAAAATTCTCTCACTGAAGGAACTGGGAGAGCAAAGAAGCTTCTGTAAAGACAGCTGGACCTTCCGCTTTTGATCCATTCCAGCAAAGTGCCTTGTAAAGGGAGGGCTGGGGGGAATTCTAGGCCTGGTTCTCAGGGAAATTGCAGGTCCTGGGCCCTGGAAAGTCCCTGAAGATGACAAGTTCAAAACCCAAACAGGGGCACCAAAGCCTATCATGCATCTTCTTCACTGCTCTAATTTGCAAATGTCTGAGTCAGGCTTTTTTGATGCAGTGTTCAGCCTTGCCCTTGGACCCATGAGGTCTTGAAACTCTGGTGAAGAAGAAGAAGAACTACTACGACTACACCAGGACAATCACACACATGCCCCAAAGCAGTGAAGTGGGTCTTACGTGCCACAGTTCTAAGGGAGAACAAAAGGGCAACTCAGGAGACAAGTAACAGGAATGGGCCCTAGTAAGTAGCCTAAGGGGAAGGTTCCAGGAGGCTGGAAGGCCAGTGCCTTGGCTAGCACTTTGTGAACAATACCTCATATAGAAGCCCATCTCCTGAAATGGATACAATGCCATCCCACTCAGCCAAGTTGATGTTCTGTACCAGCTCCCGGGCATGGTTCTGTCTCTCTGGGCCAGAAAAGGAATAAATAGCATACAGATTAGTAGCAATTCAAAGCCACACTCCCACCCGAAGAAACTGATTCAGTGGCTGACCACCAGGAGACGATTTTGACCTGTTCTGTATGTCTTGTCTACAAGTGAATGGAAACAGCAAACTGTTTGGGAGAAATTATTATTGCTGCTGCTGAAATTATATTTGCATGCATACGTGTGTGTGTGTGCGTGTGCATGTACATATACATTATACAAATATAAACGCATGGGCATCACAATTTATTGCTGCCGTGATTGAAAGCTTTGAGGCCATACATTTAGAAGATGAATATACATTTAACTTTCTAGCATTTAACGCTAACGATTACTTAGGAGTTAAGAGCTATTTAAGTGCTCAAGAAGCTTTGCATACCTTCTTTCAGTAATCTGGGATCATTACCCCCTTGTCACAGGCTGCTTCTACAGAAGGACTGAGGCTGCTGTTTGCCTAGCAAGTTGGTGGCTGAGGCGACATTTGAACCAGGGACTTAGGGCTCACAGGTTCTATGGCTCTTGCCTAGCCACCGCCACCACCACCACTACTGCTGCTGTTTTTTGTTTAAACAAAAGTAAGGTAAAGATAAAGGGACCCTTGACCATTAGGTGCAGTCGTGGCCGACTCTGGGGTTGCGGTGCTCATCTCGCTTTACTGGCTGAGGGAGCCGGCGTACAGCTTCCGGGTCATGTGGCCAGCATGACTAAGCCGCTTCTGGCGAACCAGAGCAGCACACGGAAACGCCGTTTACCTTCCCGCCAGAGCGGTACCTATTTACTTGCACTTTGACGTGCTTTCAAACTGCTAGGTTGGCAGGAGTAAACAAAAGTATCTGTTCCCAAATATTGTTGTGTTCCCATTTTTAACTGAGTTTCACTTAAGAGCAGCCCTGCTAGTTCGGTAAAAAAAGAGCCCCACAACAAATGCATGACGGATGACAGCAACCCTCCTTTTCTGTAGATCCCCGTTGTCTTATATTCAAAGATGGACTGCCCCTAAACACGCTGGCTCCATTGAGCTAGTATGGCTCAGAGTCACCAGTAAGAACCAGCCTCCTCCAATTTGTCTACCCCCCCCAACTCCACTTTTGAATCCATCTACAGGCTGTGTTTCCTCTCCCCACATCCACAGGAAGCACTGAGGGCCACCAAGCTAGATGGCTTTGAAACAATTAGACATATTCATGGCCACGCTCTACCCCCCACGGCATCCATTCCCCTTGCCCCTTGAAGGCCACCTTCCGTCTGCTGCCACCTCACCTGTCTGGATCAAGTTGAAGCCGATGTCCGCCTCCGTGATCATGGGGAGGATGTGATTCTGGCACCACTGCAGGGCATTGCCCTTGCCTCCAAAGGGGTTCAGCAGCAGGAGCAGGCGACGGGGACGGGGCAGGAGGCTGCGGCTGATCTCTGGTTTGAGGGGAGAGAAGAGGGTGACCAAATCAGGTGTTGCATTTCCCCTGTTGGAGCTGCATCTGCAAGCTCGTGCAAAACGAGAAGCTGCCCGCGCGGTGAAGCTGTGCTTATTATTATCAAGGCACCAAGGACCAGCTTCACACATTACTACAGATCTGGGGAACTTCTGACCCTCCTGATAATGTTCAACTCCACTTCCCATCGGCTCTGACCACTGGCTGCACTGTCTGGGGCCAATAGGAGTCCAGTCCCATGGGAGGGGGCTGGCTCCTCAAGGACCGCCTCTCTCCATATGAACCTACCTGGCCCTTGCAAACATCCTGTGAGTCCTTCTTCGTGTGCCTCCTCCACGAGAGGTCTGGAGGGGGCCAACACGAGAATGGGCCTTTTTTGCAGTGGCTCCCCCTCTGTGGAATGCTCTCCTCAGAGAAGCTCACCTGGTGCCTTCATTATACAACATTAGGCACTAGATGAAAACATTTCCCTTCAACCAGGCCTTTGGCTGATTGACATCTAATGCCCTTTTAAGTGTGTTGTGGAAGGGGGGATTATTGAGTTGTCTTTGTTTATATGTCTTTTGTGTTTTTTATATTGTAGTTTTAGGTTGTGAGATCTACAGGTATAGGGCGGTATACAAATTTAATAAATAAAAATAAGTAAATATCTGCATGACACATTTGACAGATACGTGACACTGCAAGACATTCACACAGCAAGTGTGCATTCCCACGAGACATGGGTAGCTGGGAGTTCATGCTCTAACAATGTACAGTCGTACCTTGGAAGTCGAATGGAATCTGTTCCGGAAGTCCATTTGACTTCCAAAACATTTGGAAACCAAAGCGTGGCTTCTAATTGGCTGCAGGAAGCTCCTGCAGGCAATCGGAAGCCGTGGAATCCCCATCAGACGTTTGGATTCCAAAGAATGTTCGCAAACTGGAACACTCACTTCCGGGTTTGCAGTGTTCAGGAACCAAAACATCTGAGTACCAAGACGTTCGGGATCCAAGGTATGATTGTACATCAGAGGCAAATGCCCAAACTGTGGTCGTTGCTAGCTTTCACCTGTGGGGGCTTGCTGATCCCAGATGCCTGCTGTGAATGCCTGGAAAACTAAAGTGGAAATCTGATCAAAGAAATCTAGTCAATAAATTATACCAAGTCTGAACTGATTCTGTCTACCTGGATGAATAAAACAATAGTTCTGAAGATGCTTTCTTTGTTTTGATAGTTGATCTATGTAATTGTCTGAGTAGAAGCAAGCCTTCCTTGGTGCAAGAGAAGAGGGAAATGCTTCTCCTGCAATGGCACAGCCTCCACCCATGATTTTTCCATAAGCACTTGTAGTAAAAAATGGTTTTCTCAAGCCAGTGTCACAGAGGTGTTTAGCGTGCTGGAAAGACCCAGGTTCAAATCCTCACTCAGCCATGAAATTGACCATGTAACGTTGAGCAAGTCACTCCCACTCCATCTCACCTTACTTCACAGGGTTGGTGTGAACTTTAAATGGAGGTGGAAGAAGTACAAGGCCCTTGGAGGAAGGGCAAGATGAAAATGTCGTCAAAGTAAGCACATAAAAAAATCACCTTTTCATAAGGCATTCTCCACCCTGCTGAGGCAAACCAGCCATCTTGTGTGTCTAAAGGACCTTAGGTCTGTTCTTTCCCTCTGTTTATTCAAAGTGATGTATTTTTAACTTTATTTTTTATTCAAGTTCTTACAAAGGAATAAAGAATTCTTTAAAATGTTTTTAAAAGGCTGGCTGACCTTGTTTCCAAACCTGCTGACACTTGAGCCTGATCAACAGATTTATTTATTTTTATTATCTACCAATGTAGATCTGCTAAACAGGGTAGCCCCAGTGAGCACCACAAGAGAAACAAGGGTGGATGCTGACATTCACACAAATACCATTTCCAGTTTTCATGGGTGGGGCTGAAAGCGTTCATGTATTCTTAGACATTAACCGGCAATCCCAGACACATTTTCTGTTCATCACTGGGATGTACAACGTTCACTGTGACACACCCACACACCCTGGAAAGCTCATATTTGCAGTCGCCTCTAGTTTAAAGTCACTTGTTTCTACAGTGACTTCTTATGGTGCTGCAATATGCAGCTGACTCTGGGGAGAGAGCTGCCACTTAGACCACAAACAGATTTTCAGGAGAGTTTAAGGTGATACTGAGAGCCATCATTTCCTGGGGTTTTCATTCATGTATGTGCTTTTTTCAAAAACCGTGGTCTCACCTTTGCTAGCCTTTACAGGGCATCGAAAACCCAGAAATAATGTTTAACCACAAATAGTGTAATTGAGACAGAAATTAAAACTGTGTTTGCTCACCATGACTAATGATAGCTGCCATGCCACCTTTAGCTTTCAGGGCGGGGGAAGTATCACTCCTCCTCATCCTTATATAGGTGCCTTATATAGGTTGCTTGTCTTTTTAAAGCCATTCCTTACAAGAGTATCAACCCTCGCTAACCTGCACACCCAGCGCCTTCCTCTCAGCTGAGCCACACCATACATTTAAAGCAAAGAAACTGTAGCTCAGCCCTCAAGAGAACTAGAATTCCTAGAACCCTTTTAACTAAACGACAAAGTCTGGCTGAGAAGAAGGTAGCAGGCTGGCTTTGGCTCCAGGGCTGCAATGCTGTGGCAGGGGGAAAAACAACCCCGCAAGTCCCAGGATTCTCTGGGGTGTAGCTCTATAGTCTCCGCTGGAATCATCTTGAAATGCTGACTGTTCCTGGCATGAGGCTGTGACCTAGAAATGGGAATCCCCACCAACTAGACTTCCCGCTAGTTTTCCAAGGGCAAAAACACATGAGATAAAAAAGCACCCAGGCAGACAGGAAGCCTTAATAACTAAGGAAGGAAGCTCTGCAGCCTGAGGCTCCAAAATAACTAATGCATCTTGGAAGGCAGATACTAATTTGGAAATACCCACAGAGCATAACTGGTTATGCCGAGTGGGAGGCCAAACGCTCTCTGGGCTGTACCTAAAATGAAGGTGGCACTTCGCTGTGCTGCCAAGGTCGCGGCCAGTTGCATTCAGTGGCGCAAGGCTTTCATAAGACTTTCAGGTCCCTTGAACTCCTTTCATAATTGTGGAGGGAACACCCAACGAGCAGAACTTGTGCCCATTTCAATACAAAGAGGATCAAGATGAACTTTAAAGAGATGTAGAGATAGAGCATTCATCCTCAGGGTATCCCTCTGAGCCAAACTTCAAAATTTTGGGATACTTTGGGGAGGGGAAGGCATTAGGGGTCAAAACAGCGAGAGGCAATTTAAACATTGCAGGGGGTTGGGCTGGATGACCTCAGGGTCCCCTCCAAGTCTACAATTCTATGATTCTCTACAATTTCCTCCCTGTTGTAATAGTTTTGTTGCTGACAGGGGGAGCAGAGAAGAGAGTTAAATCCTCCCTCAGTGCCTTCTCTGATTCCATTTAATATCCACCCTCCCCCACCCAACCAGGAATTTGCATTTTTAAAAACTGTCATCTTACATATAAAGAATATAAGGGACTGGAGCTCCCCCCCTTTTTTTTTAAGCCTCTGGGTCCAGGGAGGACCTCTTTAAGAGGTGGGCATAACTCACTCCTGAAGCGAGGCATCGCCCACTTCACTGACCCTTTTCACTAGCCACAATGGGCAGGTAAATCTAGAATATGTAAAATATGTGGACTGCAGATGAAAGGTTTTGTGTGTGGCCAACCTTTGTGACAAATAAAAACATGTTTAATGGAAAACAATAGTCAGAGATATGGAAAACAAGTCCTACAAGGAAAGGCTGAAGAGCACGTTTAACCTGAAGATAAGAAGGCTAAGGGGACTCATAATAAGACAGAAAAATTTGTTCTCTGAGGGCCCAAAGGTCAGGACTAGCTCTCATAAGGTAAAACAGCATTCCTGAATCTGGCGTCGTTAGACTCCAACTCCCATCAGCCCCAGCCAGCGCAGCCTGTGGTAAAGGATTATGGGAGCTGTAGTCCAACAACACCAGAGGCCTATATGCCCCCAAGTGAGACAGGCCACAGGGAGAAAAATGCTTCACAAGAAATGATAGCAGCAACTTTGTTCCCCTTCCTTCTTGTGTTGAGGGCAGAGTATGCATACAGGTATCCAGTTTTATGAGAAAACAGTGGGAAAGGCACGTGCAGGAGATACCCATGGGAATGTTTTGCCCCGAGAATGAATGCAATCTGCGAGGAGCCTTTGCTGATGAAGAGGCAGGGCTGTGCAAACAGGAACTTGGCTCCGTCCTCAGTGGCTCCCACGGGGTTCTGGGGAATGAAACGAAAAGCCGCCTGCACTGCAATCTGGGACACGGATGAAAGAGCGCATAATTTGCGTGGCACATGAGGGAGATCAGGACTGCTTAGGGTAATGAGAGCCGAGGTTGCACAGATAGATGTGCCATCTCCGAGTGCCTTCTGGCGGTTCCCTCACTGCAAGAAGTGAAGTTGTAGGGAACGAGGTAGAGGGCCTTCTCGGTAGTGGCACCCTCCCGGTGGAGCGCCCTCCCATCAGATGTCAAGGAGATAAACAACTACTACACAACTTCCTGTATTGGGAAGTTTTTTAATGTGCTTTGCTGTGTTTTTATTACATTGTAAGCCGCCCAGGAGTGGCTGGGGCAACCTAGTCAGATGGGCAGGCTATAAGTAATATATTATTATTAATGCATTATTATTATTATTAAGGCCAGGAAAGTTACCATCTCTACAATCCAGGCTGAGGAAGGATGGCGAGTTCGGCCACCCCTGCCACTACATTGCCATGCTTGGGGTGTTGCAGGAAGGGACTGTTCTCCTTTAAGGGCAGACTCGCTTTCTACACTGGGCACAGAGGAGTGCTCTGGTTATCCTTTGCCGGCCCACCTGCTGTGCCACCAGGGCAGGGCTTGGGGGTTCAAGACCCAGGGGGCATCGCTCCATTGGGTGAGCAGTAGCACACACACGCGCGCACACCTGCCAAAGGAAGCA